AAATTAGTCGGCTTGTTTTACAGCTACTGTTACAGCTATTTAAATTGTATGTCGGCGAGAAATTCTAAGCCAGCTTAGAATTAAAGTTAACTGTATAGTCTTCAATTACTAGGCTTTAGTTAAATCCATAAATTCAGATTAATTTCAGATTTAAAAAAAAAATGTTTTTTTAATCTTTTCAAGACTCTGCAGTTCTTTTCGTATACAGCGATAATTCGGCTAACATCTGTAAGCAGTTTGATACTAGTTTATGCTACCGAAGAAAGTCAAACTCCTAACTGAACTGGTAGATTCGGTTATTATCAACAGAAATGTTTCTTTCAGTTCAGAAACTGTTTTACCACATAAGTATCTAGTTGTTGATCTTAGAATACTTAGTTGCAGCTCTTAAATATGCGGTTCATATGATTTACTTGAATTCAAAATTTACAGAAGCTTCAAACTTACAGATCAGAAGTGGCTAACTTCATATTGACATGAAATTTGCCACTCCTGATACATAAATTTAGTCTTGCCATATTTGGAAGTGATTAACTTGCATTATTATAAGAGCCTTCCTCATCGATGTAAATTGACAAATCCATTTTACAAGTCTTTATTATTAGTTTAATAGTCTTTATTGTTAATTCAATTCAAATAATAATTTTTCCAAGTCTTTATTATTAATTCAAGTCAAAAAAAAAAAAAAAAAAAAAAAAAAAGCAGCGTTATAGTTTCGAATTTTCACAGGACTAGTTTCGATGGTTTTACCGAACCATCATCCTCAGCTGCAAAAGCTCAACAGTAAAACCATCGAAACTTGTCCAGTGAAAATTTGAAAGTATAACGCTGATTTTTGTTGCTTGAGTTTTCCCCCGTAAATTAATACTTGTACGGCGTTTTATTATATCTTAAGTCTTTATTATCTTATAAGGTATTTCTCCCGCCTTCTTGGCATGCCTTCGTGGTGTGGTGATCAGCACGCTGGGCGCGTATTCCAGAGGTCCGTGGTTCAATTCCTGGAGATAATGCTCATATTTCATCTTCCATGCTTCCAATTAACCTAATGTCTCTCCAGTGGCGCCCGAACTAAAAGGGTGATGGATGATGATTCTCCACACCCAGGATTTGACGATTGGGTCCCCTAAAAAACCCTAGTCACCCTTTAAAAGGGGGGAGTATATAAGGTATTTCTCCCGCATTCTTTGCATGTCTTTGTAGTGTGGTGGTCTACACGCTGGGCGTGTGTTCCAGAGGTCCGTGGTTCGATTCTCGGCGAAGGCTTTGCTCATTTTACATCTTTTATGCTTCCAATCAATGTAATGTCTCTACAATCTCTAATGTATCATTAAGTTGCAGTTCTTAGAAGTTACTGTTCGGTATGACATAAGATTTTAAATTTATCATTCAAGTTAAAACTGTACATTGCTTAGAAGGATTTATAAGTAATGCTCGTTCTTCTTCGCAACTTGTACTTTTATTTTATTTTTAATAATATTTTTGACTGACTGCTATAGTAGTTTTATAATAATTTTCCTTCTGACAGAGAGCCTTGGTGATGCACTTAGTAGCATGACTAGCAAACAGAAGATCCGAAGTTCTAATCTCTGCAAAGACATACTTGATTTTTCAAGAACGCCTTACTTGTTTCTTGCTTCTAAAAGCCTAATAGATTCTGCAAGTTGACCCAGAAATGTGATAAATTTAGCTATACTTTTGCCGGGATTCGAACTCCAGATCTTTCGATTGGCTAGCCATATGCTAGCTAGACCAATTACACCATAACGCACTGAAGAAAAAGGAAATTTTTTATATTTCTTTTAAATGGGAAGTAAAGTTCCGTATAATTTATATTACTAGTTTAAGATACGTACAGTACCTCTAACTAATAACTTACACTGTTACTGTAATCATTAATAGATATTGCTAATAATTATAAATCTTACGGAATATTCGCTCCTTCCAAGAAGACCATTAAATGTGATGGCTGTTCAAAACAGTACATCCTTTACTTTCTTAAGAAACGAATTTTTCTAGTCAAAACTTCTGAATTCGTCATTTTGAAAATCAAGTGATTAAGAATAAGGTTTCGGGAAAATAAGATAAAACGACTTTTGTAAAAATGAATAAACATTTCGTTAACAAAAATCTTTTGATTCGCTCTGAGGTAGTTCTTTTGATTGCGCACATGATGTGTAATGCTCGAAGGCACTTTGAAGGAAAACAGTAATATTCAAGAAAAGGAACTGAATAATACTTTCAATTAATAAAAGTTGACTACTATGTTATTCGGAAAGAGGTCACCTCACATTATCATCTTTATAACAAGATTCTTAATGATAACTGTGTGAACGATAGCTATCTTCTCCTTAAGGATGTAATAACAATATGAAATAATGTCATTTACGTGCTATTCACGTTATTTACATCCTTGTGTCGTCGCTTTCGAGTGCGTGACTTCAATAACGTGCGTCGGAAGTTCCATGCATGGGCGAGGTCGAGAGGTTTATTTTTCGTTCCATGCACCTGTGAATTCTACCGCCGAATGGACAGACAGCTCACATGGGACACGTGACCCAGCAGTTTTTCGTTATCAATAGGATTCAGATAGCGTTAAGAAGTAATAAAAGCTTTACTTTAAGAAGACATTCTTTCTCCGATTTTCAATCATTTTGTTAGAATTCATAGCCTCTGATTTATGACCGTTTTATGAGATGCATTTTTCGATAAAAATTAACAAAGCCGAATTTCCATAATTTTTATTATTTATTTATTTTTCCCCCTTTGTACGAGAGATAATATGAACTCCAGGCTTTCAGTGGAATTAAAAAAAAAAAGTATTTTGTGCAGAATCGTTTTACTTCCAATGCAAAATATTTCCGTCCGTGTTTGCAATTTATTTTTAGAATATTTTTACAACAACGATATAATAAAAACAAGACCTCTTAGGAGACCACTATTCCTATACAGACGCTTTCTCTGTATTTTCAGTTTATTTTTAAAAAGGTTTTACTATCATATACAGAGATACACAAGTGTTTTCGGACACTTGCGTTCAACAAATTTATTTGCAAATATCAATTATTAAATATTAGAAAAATTACTTTACTTTTCTTTTACTAGTGATAATCTTTTTTAAAACCTGCATGTTTTGAAAAACGTTATTCAACACGTTTTTGGTTAAAAAAATTATTCAAAAGTTTCTGAAAATGAAATAACGTTAAGTATTCGGAAACTTTGAACAAATAGTTTATACATTGGATTATATTTGTTTTCGGATATTTGTGTTTTTAAATTTTATTTGCAAATATCAATTACTATATATTATCAAAATTACTTTTATCTTCTTTTACATATAGTATTGCCCATCTTTTTTAAAACCTGCTTTGTTTTGGAAAATGCATTTAAAACGGTTTTTTTTTTTAATTATTATTAAAAAAAATGTTCATTCAAACCGTTCTAAAAATCAATTCGAGCATTTTGAATGAGCAGGTTGAACAACACATAAGTATTAGAACATTTTGAATTAAATTTAATTTTAAAATAAGAAAATGAGGAGGGGGAGACATTTAATATTTGGTTGGATAATCCTTAGCGAAAACAACGATTTTCATACACTTTGCCATGAATTTAATTCAAAATTTTGTGTAAGAATTTTTTCGTGCAAGAATGTTCCATTACTTCGTAAGAATTGCTTTTACCAGAGTTTTCGAAGAAATGTCATGTTTCCTTATTCTTTTCTCTAACTCACTCCATACATGTTCGATAGAATTTAAATACAAAGAATATGAAGGAGTTTTCATAACTTCTGGACAACTATGTAACCACAAGCAGACATCTAGGGCTGTACATTTAGGATCTTTATCCTGGTAGAATTTGAAGGTATTTTGCATTCCAAGTTTTCTTGCGGATGCTTTCAAATTTTCATTAAGAATATTTATATATTATACAGATCCATATTATTTTGTATCTTTATTATGGAGCCACCTAACAGGTGGACCACGTTGCCGCCTTTGAAGGGACGGGCAAATTGCATCCAAGCCTTCTCCGGGATCCGAACCCGGGCCCTTAGATACGGCAGTCAGAGTCACTAACCACTTGCGCGTCTGGGTGACAGTATTTAATATAAATTGGGTTCACAAGCGACAACCTATTTCGAATAATATTACTATATATTATCAAAATGACTTTTATTTTCTTTTACATATAGTATTGCCCATCTTTAAAACTTGCTTTGTTTTGGAAAATGCATTTAAAACGGTTTATTATTATTATTATTTAAAAAAATTTCATTCAAACCGTTCTAAAAATCAACTCGCATAAGTATTCGAGTAGGTTGAATAGCAAATAAGTATTCACATAAGTATTACAACATTTTGAATTAAATTTAATTTTAAAATAAGAAAATGAGGAGGGGCAGACATTTAATATTTGGTTTATTACTTATTTCCTGATAAATGCCATAAAAATTTAGGTTATTTATTTAACGATCTCTACAGGGCAACAGTAGTTTCTGCCTAAAATTCAAGTCTTTATATAATGTTATTAACTTCCTAATAAATGTTGCGAAGAATTAGGTTATTTATTTATCGATCACCACATGCCTACAGTAGTCTGTTCTTAAAGTTCAAATCTATAAATTATTTCGTGGAACTCTGTTTCCAACTTATGAGTTGCAGTTTCTTGAATTTCTTTACTAAAACGGTTCGAATTTCAGTTCCATTAATATCTCAGTCAATGTATGTCATAATTCTAGAGAAAAGGCGGGAGAAAGGAAATTATACCAAATGGAGTAAATGTGCTTCTCATGGTAATGTTTCTACACGATAAATTCAGGCCAGTAATAGCATCTGCATAAATAATCATGTGTAATTATTCTTAAAACAAACAATTTTTTACGCATAATTATTGACAATCCTAATATCTATGTGAGCGTTCTTAGACTGTTTATAAACGACACAGCATTCATTTAAAGCTAATAACACTGGCATAAATTAAGTAATAAATGGTAAGCCACTTACTGTTATGCTAAATGGCAGAAAATATGATGTGAAAGCGATTAATCCGTAAATCTTCATCATCAGCTGCCTGTAAGAAGATATATTCGAGGTTAATATCGCGAAGCACAATCTGGAATATTTATTGACAGTGACTTCAAGATAAAAACAAGATTTTCTCATTGCAAAACAACCTCTATAGATGAGCTTCTTAATACTTAAAATACGTTAATAAATTAAAATCTAAATAAAACACTTGAAATTTCTACTAAGATTGAGATTTCTGAAAAGTGATGAACAATTTTATTTCGAGAAACTATAAGGATAATAGTAACGTTGGAAAATATAACTGTATTTGAATATCTAAATTAGAAAATGCTAGTATAATTTTAACGCATGATTTATTTATTATTATACCATATTTTATTTATATGTAATTATTATTCTTATTTCAGTTTTTAACTGTCTCAAAAAATAATTGCATACACAAAAGACAATTTTGCATTATATGAAGCGCAAACGATATTTCATTTATGTATAAACACTACTTTTACACTTTTTCGCAGATGATGCTTTTATTTTTGTCCCAGCCCAGTGATCCAAGTCCGGTTATCACAATATTAGTCACGTCCATATATTTATGATCTGACTTTTTTTATTTCTTAATTGTTTTAATTATCTTCACTGCATGTCCTAATCTGCTCTTCGCTGTTATCGCCTTTTATGATTTAATTTTATCGTAACTTTTTCAAAGCAATCGAAATTCTCTCTTTTGTCAAACGAGAAATTAAGCTGAAGAGCTTCATAGCATGAATATCTTTTTTACAGGTTTCGAAGGAGAAAGTTATAACTACAATGCAGATAACTGACTACTCTTCAACTGTTTGTATTAGGTTTAAAATTATGTTATTTTAGTCAGTCTCATTAAAAATCAAGTTATGAAAAATGAGAATTTCTTTAACATTGATTTACCGTATTGATGCGTGCGTACGGGTTCGTAACAGACTGAATGCACAAGTTCGATAACAGATTAATAAAATTTATTTTTATCAAGAGAAATATTTAAGAACTCTGGAATTTTCCACAGAAATATTCGTACAAGTGTTCACGGTATCACACAGTATAATCATTACTTACACCTCAAACTACTCAGAATGTTAAACAAAACGCAATTCAAAGCGCATTTAAAGAGGGAGCTAACTCGGATTTATTTCAGTTCACACGGTACTACAACTCGCAACAGCAATAACTAAACAACTAAACTGAGATGCTCCCTCTCCAGCTTTTGATAGTTTTCAATCGGCCACCGAGATATTTCTGTTACTTTCTGCTTCTCGAAATTACTGGAAAGCAATAAGAGTGTGGAATTACTGTTACAGCTAACATAGTGGTTAATAACATTTATTCAATTTCAATACATATTACAGCGATACAAGGACTGGGCCCAAATGTCGCCAAATCGTTTTTAAATTTGGCGTCTTTTGGCGATTTCTTGCCATATTACTGAGATACCCATTTACTCAATGCTAAATGCACTTGCCCTGTAATCTTACTTTTCCGGCATAGCTTTCTCTTAAAATTTGTTTCGCGTTATATCACATGTACACACACACACACACAAATCGCATATAACTGCACTAAAATCATCTATGTATAAAATTCGTAACAGTATTAACGATACTTTATGCAATAATTTTTCTACAGTTTTATGCTTTTGACATATAAGTTTAGTTTAAAACTGCCTGTTAGCTATCGAATTTATTTTCATCAATAATTTTCAGTCTGCTTGGTTAAATAATGTTGTTTTGATTGCAATAATTATGTTACCAACACATTTGTTATATTCACGATACAGCAGTTTTATTTAAGTATACAGAACTGCTCAGAATAAATTTGTCAACTTTGTTCTTCTGCACAGTAAAAAAAAAAAAAAAAAAAAAGTCTGAACAGATAGTTTTCTTCTACATATTCTAATTTAAAGTAGTCTGTAGTTAGTTATTTTGACACATGAGACTTGAAAAATAAGCAGTGCCCTCGCCGCGACTCAAACCCTAGACCCACTAGTCACACATAAAGATATTCATTTTAAGGTAGAAAGCCCTTTTTATGTTTTGACACAGTTAATCAATTAGCCAAAGAATTGAATAAAATCTGAAAAAAAAAAAAAAAAAAAAAAAAAAAAAAAAAAAAAAAAAAAAAGATTATTCACATTGAAAGTTTCTGTTACTATGCTTTAGTTATGATGTATGTTTTAAATAATACTTTTTCATTCAACTCCAGAAATACTTAATTTAAATTTTGGTGAAGTTTTCATTTTCATTTTAGTTTGATTTTAGTGTTTCAAAAGTAAAACTACATACGTAATTCAAATAAATTTAAATCAAACAATCGAATCCAATGGTTTGCACAAACTTATTCTAATTAAACAAATAGCATAATCTTTTTTAACTTAAATATCCATGCCCATACGTATATATACTACATATATATATCTGCATACTACATATATGTATCGTACATAGTGCATGTATGTATCTGAATGAATGTACACATATGAATGTGTACATGTAATCATGCATGTTCTTTTATTTAGCAATGAATGACAGAAGTAAAAATTAAATGTCTATTATTATCACACGGATCTTTATATTTTCTAAAAGAGGCTTGTCATTGTATTGTAGATAAACTCATTCAAAATGGGGTATTTGTGGCACATTCAGTTACATATGGAAGACGGGAAACTTGACTTACATGTTTCTGTATAGAAATAAGACTATTTTATTATAATAAAATTTACAAATACATAACATTATTTCTAAATTAGCATTGCTCAAAACTGAGGAAAGTGATGCTCGAAAAATTATTCCAAAACACGAAAACTGTGCTGTTTCTAAGTATTCGATTCTTCTATAACATATGTTACCGTGAAAGAACGAAATTGGAGAATGTCGACTTTCACCAGAGAATATCAACATTCACCAAATACGTCGGTGAAAGACCGAATAGTTCACTATATTCTTGTATATTCGGACCCTCACCGGTGTACGTCGACAATCACAGATATGCTCTGGTGAAAGTCGGAAAGAGAGGTCATAAAGTGCCATAATAGTTTAAGTTGTTGCAGTAAATAAGATTTGAATCACATAATTTAGTAAGTTTTTTATTACTGTTATTTTATTTTCTCATTTAGGACGTTCTGTATAATTAAGTAAGTTTTTAACTTCTATTATTTTCCTTTCTCATTTTGAATGTATTGTGTGTTTTAAGTTCTCGTGTTCTTAAGTTCTTATTTCAAGTTTCAAGTGCGTTTATTCGCGACTGAATTACGGAGAAGAAAATATAATATTGTTATATGTTCAACATTCACCATTAGTACATGGTGAATGTCGACATTGACCGGTGTAAGTCAGAAATAAGAGTATTTGGAAAATATTTCGGACATACACCAAGAGACTATGTGAATTTTAACATTCACCGGTGAAAGTCGACATTCTCCAGATTTCGGTGTTTCACCGTAACATATGTTTTACAATTTCACCCGAAAAGGTTAGGCACAGTTACGACAAAGACTCTATAACTGAAATTTTGTTGTTTTTTCCCTTTTTGTAGTCGAAAAGGGTAATTTGTTCAGAAGGACTATTAATTTCGTTTTGGCGTTGATTTTGCGTTGATTCACTTTTTAAATTGTTGCCACTAAATATTATAGCCCTGTATTATATTTAAAGAAATTAAATAATGAAGAATCTGCATAAATATATGTGTGTTTCTCGCATTGTGATAAAACAACGGTACTTTTTTTTTTCCAGTGTTTCTGAATTATCTTACTTATTCATATCAAATAGAAAGTGCGGGCATTTCTGAAAATTACCGAATCTGTCTCATAAATGAGCATAATATGAATTTTGTTATCCGAATATCATCAAATGTTTTTAGTCCTGATTTATTTTCTTTTACCAACTTAGGAAGTAAAAATGAAAATCTTTCACATTTTCTTATTGCAAATAAATTTTAAACACCCTAGATTTCCATGTGTTTACTCACTTAAAAAAAAAAAAGAAATTAAATATTCTGAATATATTACTTTATCATTTCATTGAAATGCCACTGAAATTTGAAAATTGTTTTAAAAGCAACAAGCAGAAATTAAATATTTTGATACTAACGCTTTATCATTTTATTTAATTTCCACTGAAATTTTGAAAATATTTTTCAGACAATTCCTGTAAGGAAAACTGTGTTATTAAAAAATTATATGTATCTCATTAAATATTTGTTTATACTTCATAAACTAATTTTACGATTAACTAAGACAACTACAGAAATAATCATAAAAATTAAAATTGTATCTCTTAAGTGTCACTAAGTAAGTAACAGAACTAAAGGAGAAAGTAAAAAAAAAAAAAAAAAAAAAAAAAAAAAAAAATTACCTGAATTATCTTGTTTTCCTTTTAGATTGCGATAACTTTGGGAAAAATTTATTTTAAACAATATCATAATAATTTCCCATTTTATAAATTCTTCATTCTTTTCAAGCTAGAAACAAAATAACACTTTAGTTTTTTATAATATTTAACACATGCTTTCTTGATGTTTGCAGCGAATCGTCAGTTTGAAGAACACTCGAATTTCCCCATTCACACCTCCGACTGCCTTTGCAACTCTAATCTCGAAATTGCGATGAGACGCCGTATAAGCTGAACATACGGCTGACGAGACACATATACTCAACGAAGCATCCAGAGATTCTAAAAGGGTCTCTATACTCCTTTGTTCGTTTTTCTTTGAAAGCACTGTAGGAACGAGCGATGTGAAGAAGATTTATAAAAGTGGTAGTGCTTTAGTTTTATATTTCATTTATTCATGAAAAGTACTGTTTTGGTAGAAAGCAACCATTTTATAAACAGAAATTCAACATCCTAGTTCACTTCTCTAATAACTGTTTATAGACTTATCATCATCCGAAATCAAGAAAATTTTTTTTGTTTGTTTGTTTGTTCGTTTAAAATGAATTAATGAATAAGATTTGAAGATTCTCCTGTATAATAAGTACATATTTATTTTTTATTTATATATTTTTTAATTCTTTATAGAACTTTTAATGCTAAGGTTCTCTTTATTTCTTTATAACTAATGATACGCTCTAGAAGTACGTGTTTTCTTCCCTGGGTAACGGGAGACCAGAAATTTGCCATTGGTAGTACAAGCGTAGTTTCGCCCCTTCAGCCCCAATTCTCGACAAGGAAAAACTCGGAGAGCCATCCGAGGGACTCCCACCCACCTTCTCCTATCGCCAAATTCTCCAGAGGATTTTCTGCTTGTTAAATTACGAACAGGCGAATCCATAACGATGCCATTCACGAAGAATTAAATATTGCTAAAATTGTAGAAATCATTAGGTTATTTTGAAGTAGGAAATATGAAAAATGAACAATGCCCTCGCCTGGACTTAAACCTGGAACTCTCGAATACACGCCGAATATGCTACCGTTACACCACGAAGGCATGCATAAAGGAGAGAGCAAATACCTTATATATTACCCTTTTTAAAGGGCGACCACGACCCAATCGCCAAAGTTTGGTGGTGAAGAAGCATCATCCACCACCTTTTTTTAGTTCGGACGAAACTGTAGAGTTCATTAGGATTTTTAAAGAAGGGAACCCGAAAAATTAGCAATTTCCTCGCGGGACTCGAACCTGGATCTCTCGAATACGCGCCGATTGTGCTACTGTTACACCACGAAGGCAGAAGACAGCAGAAAAAAATCTTTCTATGATTTTTCTCAACTTTCTTTAGATGATAGATGGCCATCAACTCCCACGCGATATGTATATTTATCGCCACGCGGTTTGTATATTTATCGGGGTATATACTATTGTATAATTATTCTTGTGCCGCCGAAACGGTATAGTGGTTAGGGAAGCCTACCGAAGGGTGGGGTTTCGAATCCCGGAGAAGGCATGAACGCTTATAAATATATAGCGTTTTTGCGGCATGGAGGCACTTTAAATATATGGCAAGCCGAAAGTCCTCTCATGTGGTTTGGTGGTAGATTACTTTCTAAATGTTTAGATTGATGAACTCCTATTTTAGAGAACAGGTAACTATAACAATGTTTTAATGATCCAGTAAGGTATTATTATACTTTTCAAGGTATTATTATACTTTTCAAGGTATTAAAATACTTCGGTAGTATTCGAAATTTTTAAATAATTGAAAATATTCAATATAATCATTTTTATTGCATATCTGTATAAACTAGAGTGTAAAGAAAATGCAGAACGTATTACAATATATATCATGCAAAAGTGATCTATGGTCATTTTCTAACCGCATTAAATTGCTAATACTTTGGGGGTATAAGCTGTCCAGAAGCTACATAATTTTGCTTTCCTTCCTTAGAATTTAATATTTAAAGACAGTTCATATTTTTCCAAAATAAATCTGGGTTCTATAACTTATTAAAATTTTATTTTATTTCTTAATTTAACACCTTCTTACCCCCTCTTTCAAAATAGAAATATTTCAAAAAAATATTCTTTGGCTTGCAATGTTTATAATAACTATATTTCTTAATACCTTTTCCCCTCATTCTAAACAGAAATACTGTAAAAAAAATTCTATTTGGCTTGGTATATTTTTTAATAGTTTAGCTTTTAATACTACTTTCAGTTCTCCATTCATTTTTTCTTTAATTGCTTTCCTTCCAGAAAAAGAGCTAAATTATTTTGATAACTGGATGAAAGGAAAACCGTTTTAGTTCTCTATTTTATAGAACATTTACCTATTTTATTATCTTGTTATATAACGAAATGTTTCGTTTTGAATTAAAAGCTTTTATAAATCAACACAATCATAGACTCCAAATTAGTTAACAACAATCTTCGTTTCCAAATTAGCGATTTCTTGCTTATTCTATAATACTGAACAAATAGTTATGGGTACAAAAGTCAGTAGCTGGGAAACGTGGTTATGGAAACTAAATTACAGGTTATGGAAACTAAATTAAAATCAATAGTTGGTAGAGCCTCCACGAGAGGTAATTACAGCGTGGACCCTCCGGGGCATACTTTCCACAAGTCTTTGTATGACAGCTAGTGGTATGTTCTTCCACTCTGCTTGGAGAAGACATAGAAGTTCCTTCACCGATTTTGCACGGGTAGTGCACCCCTGAATTCGGCGATGCAACTCGTCCCAGAGGTTCTCGATAGGGTTCAGGTCTGGACTCTGGGCAGGCCACTCCATTCGATGAACTCCATTGGCACCATACCAAGCATTGGTTAACATCGAAACATGACAACTCGCATTGTCGTCCTGAAAGTAACAGGAGTCCAACCCTTAAAACTGCCACAACGTAGGAAGCACATTGTCATCCAAAATAGTGCAGTAGGCATAGGTGTTGAGCTTACCATGAATGGGGACCAAGAGTCCCAGCCCATACCAGGAGAAACACCACCAGACATAATTCCACCTCTGCCGAACTTGACTGTTGCACAATGCATTCTGGCAGGAGATGTTCTCCAGATAGAGCCAGACCCAGACCCTGCCATCCGAACGGTAAAGGATGAACCTTGGTTCGTCACTCCAAAGAACCCGTTTCCACTGATCTACGGTCCAATTTCGATGTGCTTTGCACCACATTAACCGAGCAGCGCTGTTAGACTTTATGATGAAAGGCTTATGGGCAGCAGCACGACCATGAAAACCAAGCAGATGTGCTTCGTTACGGAGGGTATTCGTTGAAACAATACTCCCGGATGCCTGTTGAAACTCCTCGCGGATGAGGGCCATCGGTTGGGTGTGGTTCTTCCGAGTTTCTCTGGACAGCACTCGTCGGTCTGTATCTCCCAGTTTCGTTGGTCTGCCCACTAGAGGCACATTTCGACAATCACCGCTCGCCTTCCACTTCTTAATCACATAGGCAACTGTAGATTTTGGGTACTTCAGATCGCTAGATATATCCCTTAAGGATCGGCCACATTTGTGATAACCGATAATTATACCTTTCTCGAAATCAGAGAGCTCCGAACTGCGAGGCATCTTGCATGCGACTAAAGCCGATGCTGTTTTCTACACGATATATACCGTCGGAATCCGTGACGTACCTTAGGACCGCAGATATCGTCATTTGCACAGGTGTCCAAATACTTATTGGTAGTCAGTGTATAAACACGATTCAGTTTTATATTTAATTTAAATAATATGAAAATATCATGTTTTACAATGCACACTTTCAAAATGTAATTAATTTAATCTAAATGAATCGGTACAATACAGAGCCGTACCTTTTTTGGGTGAATCAGACATTTAAAAATAATGCGGCACAGATACTGTATGTATAAGAATTTGGAACGTAATAAAAATGTTTAGGAGAAACAGTTATGAGATTAGTTTCAGATATTAAAATCTGATGATAAGGCTCTGATGGCTTACTTTCTTTAAAGTACTTCATTTTTCTTTAAACTAGACCGTCTTTAACGTTTTCATTTGATTTCAAACTGTTAAAATGTCAAAAAGACATCAATACATGCTTTAGCAATGATGTTATAGTTTTTTTACTAGACGGAAATTAAAGAAACAGTTTCTTTAGTATACTCTTAACTGAAGAGAAATAGATTATTTGATATATTTAATATAAAAAAAAATGAAAACACAATGTGAAATAAAATATGAAAGCACGTTTATGCTATTCATTTTAGAAACTATGCAATTAAAACTGAATTTCAGTATTTACTTAAGTTCAAATTGAAACTGGCTGTATTTATGAAAATAAAAGTAATTCCACTACTTAATTTTGTAGGAATAACTTTACAACATTTGCTAAAATTAAAAAATAACGAAAATATAAAACTCCTCCTCTTACATTAAAAGAAATATTTGTTTGTCCCACAGTATAATGCAGCGCAATTATACGGAGTTTTCAGAACCTTCGATTGACTCTCCAGGAATTGGCTTTCTGTTATAAAATTTCCAAACAAATTTATTTGCTTATTTAAGTGCGACAAAGAACTGAAGTCTGTCCCAATAGAAAAAATTCCATGAAGTTATATTTTACCTTAAAATCAGTTTTTCTTCCCCTGTTTGGCAAAGACTTTAGTTTAATTCATCAGTGTTTTATAATATACGAATTTCTAAGTTATCACAATGAAATTTTTAAATTCTTTTGTGAAAGATTCATTTCTTAATTTTTCTAAGCTTTTTAAATACGATTGCAGAAATTAGTATCTTTTCATTGTCTATTTCTGCAAATGATACATTAAAGCAAAAGCTTAGATAAGCTTAGATAATTAAATTAGACGTAATTAGAGGGTTAGATGAAATTTTTAAGTTTATAACAACAAATTAAAATATCTTGTTTGCAGAAGCGAAATATATTAATTTAAAATAAATTATTATTTCAAATAAAGTTTATCGGTGAAGCTTAAATATACATTTCGATTTATAGTAATTTTCATTACATTTATAAAATTGTTTACAATAGGTTAAATTTTCTTAAAATACAATTTGAAATTCGGTTTCTTTATAACATGAAGTAACTTGTACTTTTAGAGACAAATTACTATTAATTTATATTCTTTTGTCATAAGTGAAATTTTAACTTCTTTCATATATAAGTAACTATGAAATGTAATTTCCTTATTTTTATATTGTTATCATTTAAATAAGTTATGTATCTATTTAAAAGATTAATACTACAAATATATTCTCTTAATCTCTCATGTAGCAAATACTTTTGCGCAGGTTTTCATGTTTTTCTTAATATATAAAGTGAATACGAGTTAGTTCCTTAGAAAGTACTCCACAAAGGCATCCATTCTCTTAAATAGTCAGCCCTCGGTATGTTTTGCCGTATTCAAATAATTTGACCTAAACTAGGAAGTATTTTTCTCTAACTAAATCTCTTAATAAGGAAATTGGGTTACTTTAACAACACAAATATATTATACGTAGAAGTGAGACATAATTTGCGAAAAGAAAAGATCTAATATAATAAATTTTAAAACTAATCTCAGATATTTACATATAGGAAACATGTAGAAAAGTTCAGTGTTTTAAATTAATACGCCATTTGTAAAGTTATAATAATTAGAAAACGTGTTCTATATAACTAAAGTGTGGTTATGGAAGTATTGCATCATTTATAATGTGGCGCTAAGTACAACGCATGGAAGTAAGTAATTATTTTGCGAATTCACATCCACATTACAATGCGACATTTCTGCGACGTCGTACCGTGGTCACAAATGTAATGCAAAATAGAGAGGTCACTGCAACGCCACAGTAACTACGTGTGCTGTATGGGAAGGTTCTGGCAACCATTCTTCCATGAATTATACGGACAAGACTCCAACAACTATTCTTGTATCTATAAACTGTTTACAAGAAACCACTCGACAAAATGAGTGGCAGGTGCGCAGCCTAAAAGTATCGTCTCAGATAATTGTATCACTGATTCCCTCTGAGAGGGAAACCTAATGGGAAAAAAAAAAAAAAAAAAAAAAAAAAAATCTGAAATTTTTCAGATTTTAAATTACGTCCAAATGGGCGTTTTTTTAACGTTTTGAGTGTTACCTTTATTTATTAAATATCATGTTCTTTGCACTTAAACCATAAAATTCAGTTCAAAAGCAATATCGCAAAATAATGTTAAATTAAGCATATCTTTAGAATTTCCGATATACACAGTCTCGCGAGCTGGAGATAAAAGTATTTTTTTTTATATATAACGTTGCCATTTCTCGCTTTTAAAGCATTGAGTTTGTAAATCAAAAATTCGTTAAAGTTTTACAAAATATAAAATCTATAATAAAACAAATTCCAAATTTGGGATTTCAGATGCCCATATTCGCAGTAGGATTCAAAATTCGATGGCTCTATGTACCATTGTTTTATCACAATGCGAGAAATCGACAATCATTTATGCAGATTTTTCATTATTTAATTTCTTCAAATATAATGCAGGACTCTAACATTTTGTGGCAACAGTTTGAAAAGTGAACCGACGTTTATGAGTCCGACGCAAAATGCCAAAACGAAAGCAATAGTCCTTCGGGACTGAAATCCCTTTGGACTAAAAAAAGATATATATATGTGTGTGCGCGTGTGTATGTGTGTGTGCACAGAGATGCACTTGATCAGCAGGGGACAAAGATTAAAATTGTGGAAATCTTGAGGCAGAAGGTGAAACGGGCAAAATACTCTAAAATTGCTCATACATAGGTCCGCGCACTCTCCCCTGATCTGCTTCTTTCAACACAAACATTGGAAAAACTTTTTTTTTTTTCGATTTTATTGTTAAGCTTTGCACACTATTCCTTTGTCTATTATGTAACACATTCTTAAGGTAGTTAACATCCCAGCATCTGAGTCCATTTCCATCTCGAATGGGAATGCAACCGGAAGTTGGAGCTGAAGATTGAGAAAAAGCTTAATGCCTTTCTCGATCACTCGGTATAATCTCCAGAAGGAACTTCTATTTTTGTCTCTGCATCGCGAATTAAGTTTGAAATTGAGCATTTTATTTTTAATTATTAGAATTACGAAATATTTTTGCTGTTTGCTTTCCTTAGTATTTTAGGTATAATATTTTGGTTTTTAGCTATTAGAAAATGGCATCAACACGAATCTTTCTTCTGCTCGAACATTGGCTTTTAGTTGTGTGTTCGTCAAGTTATCAAGAATTAAAAACGATTAATTGAAAAAATGGTCTTTTCAGATTTAAAAACTGATGAGGGTCTTAAATCGCTTGACGAGCACTTAGCCGATCACAGCTACATTGAAGGGTATTAATTCTATACATTGTACAGATTTATTAGATTGAAAATGTATCGTACTTGATATAATTTCTTTTATTGAATGTATAACAATCTGTAGTTAAAAAAATACGTGTTGTTGAGTTTCCTTACTTATGTATAAGAAAGTCAATTATTGATTATGGTGATTGATATCGTACTTTTTTTCACTTTTAGTTTTCAACCCTCTCAAGCTGACACAACTGTTTTCAAAGCGTTATCTAAAACTCCAGATTTTAAATATCCTCATGCATTGCGGTGGTACAACCATATCAAGTCATTTGGAAACGGTGTCACTAGGTAAAATGACTTTAATTGATTCAAGATATCTTTAAATGGTCAAGTCTGTTAGTTGAATTGCCGCATTTAGGTCTTATGAGCCGGCATAAAATATGTCACGTCATTTAGAATTAGGCAAGGCGTAGAATATATAGCCATTAAGAAGAAGGAAAGATAACTGTTATCCCTGATGATTAATAGGTATATTCATTCCTAAGCAGACATGAATATTATGTTCACTAGTTTGTTAACAATTTTGTAAATCTTTCAACTACTGTACGTACAACAGCAGTTATTATAATTTATGAGTTGTCTAACATTTGTAAATTTTCCTTTTTTTATGTTAACTTATATGTGCATAATATGTGTGTGTATTTTTTGTTCCTTAATGTTAAATATGTTAACAATAATGCGTTGTAAGTTATCAAACCTTCACTTAATTGCATACCTCTGCAGTGATTTGTTATTGCTGTTGACAAACAAATTGTGTTTTGGTGCCTGTGGTTTCTTTGCAGAAAAGATGAATCTGATAAATATATTGATTATGAAGAGTGGTGAAAATGTGCTTTAACCTACACTGTTGCTGCATTTTTTAAAATCGAGATATGGCTTTCACCAACATACATTGTGCTATTTAAACAACAAATTTCTGTGTTAATGCACATTCACTCATGAAGAATATATTCAAGCTGCTTATCTGAAATGTTTATACTTGTTTTACCTTTTATATTCTTCATATAGCTAACTTTTTGCAAATGCATATACTTTCAGAAAGAGATGCCACAAACACTGTATACTTATCAAGTGCTGCAAATTTTTTTAATGTAAATAATACTTTTAAAAATTCATTAAAATAACTCACCAGTGCTCATATCTAGAATCAGTTGCATTTCATTAACTACAACAAATTTCATGTTAACTAAGTTTGAGTTAGTAAATGTTGTGAGCCCCATTGTAAATGCTAGCTGTAAAGTAATCATCATATCTTATATCTGAGTACATAAACATACCCTGGTATTGCTAATTATTTTTTTCTTTAAAGGAGTCACTCCCTAGCTCCTCATTGACAGAGATCATCAAATATTTATGTGCATAATACTGAAAGTTTTTAGACAAAAGCAGGATGGATCATTATATTGTATATAAATATAATATGCTTTTGTATTATGATATATGAGCACATTACATTTTTTCAGACTGTATCTCCTTAAAGCTGATATACTTAGCATCCTTTCAAACCATTCCTGAAAGTAGTGTTTTCAAAATTCAATAAGTGCACTTATCAAGCAAAGGTAGATGTTATTGGGATAGAAAATGATGTTCCAAGTAAATGTTGCTTAATTTTAGAAAGTTATTTAAGAGGAAATATGGGCTTGTAAGCCAGATTCGTCATGTATTTGATTTTTGAAACCTTTAAAAACTCCACTATTTGTGCTGTGATATTCTTGGGACATTGTTACAGTGAAAAATTATTCAATTTCATGTCTTTTTATATGACCAGTTTTGAACAGTAGTTGTAAACCATTTAGCAGTAATGTTACATATCTCTATCATAATACTGTCAAGTCTATTAGTTTGTTAAATAAGCCCAAAAGAACTTGATAGCTATTAGTTTTTTTTATATCATGTAGGCCAAATATAGAATATACCCAGTATAGAATTCACTTTGAATTTTTACAGTAGAAATTGAACTCTCCAGCACTCTGGGCAACTGGAATATTTTTGAAGAACTGAGCATGATAAACGTCGCAACACAATCATAAGTTCTGTTTAGATTTTAGTTTAAAAAAAGGGGGGGATACAAGTTTGAAAAAAATTTGGGATCTATCTACCATGAAACAGTATGCAGTGGAGTATCTTCGGCTAATCTTTGGAATATGGTAACAGGTAGTTTGGCAACATTTTGGTAAGGCGATAAAATTTACTAGCTAGGACTTTAGCAGTGTACATGGATAAAGTCAAGAGTGTGCGCAATGCCATTTTTGTGCAATTCTGGGATGTTTTTTTAAGCGAAAATAGGTCGACGTGTACATGGATACTGTGTACGTGCAATTCTTAAAAACGTGGCAAGCAGTTTGCGATTCTGCAATTTCTCCCAATTTCGTACCTAATCTTCGTCATGATTAAGCACTTTTGTTCCATAAAACTTCTAGGATAAGCGTAATTCGGCTAGCAGATTGTTGGAAAAAAATGTTGAGTTAAAAAAAAAAAAAAAAAAAAAAAAAACTTGCCTTTACTTGGTGAAAACAAAATGGCGTCCAAGCAAAAACTAGCAGGTTGCTGTAGCAAGGTTGGTCGCCAAAAAATCGCCAAGTTACAATAATCCAAAGATTAACCGTATCTTCAAAATTAAGGTATCCTGGCATCAAGAAAAGTTTGTTAACGGACACAGTAAGCAGCTTTATTTGAAAATACGTAAACTATGGCAGTGCGACATAAAAAATTATGATGGGTGATTTAAGTCATTTATATATACTATATCTAAAGCTTGTATCTATTGATTATGTAACTAAAGAAAGAACAATTTGTTACTTAAAATTCTATGGAATGATTGATACAGTTTTGGTGGCATCTCTGCTAATTTTCACGATGGATAAAATTTCACGATTGTGTATGTTTTACTTTCATCTCATCCATAATAAATGGATTAGTATATTTCTGATCCCACAAATATGTTAGTTGAAGGATCTAACTCATAGGTATTTGTTCCTGGGAAAACCAAGAACTCTTTATTACACTCCTTTTGACTTCGTTCTTGGAAAGACTGGGCAGATGACATTGTAATTCACACAAATTTGTCACATCTCTTTCAGCTGATTTCATGCATATTTTGCACACAAGACACTTGCATGCATTTGAAATCAAGCCATAATTCATGCACCAGTCTATTGCACAACTTTCGCCCTTATCTCACAACTAAATCAAATAAGTTAAATCCATACATTCAATTCTTTTGATGCCAGTCATTTTACTCACAAAGTGATCAGCTGAAAGCACAGTGAAATGACGATTGTTCAAAAAGTACAGTTATACAGTATAAACAATAATCCTAAATTACCTAACAGTTTTTTGCAACTTAGCATAATTTCAGCAAAAGTGCATGTTTCCAGATTTGGCAAGATTTTGCAACTTGACGTCAATGATCTAGACTCTATTGTCTAGTTGATTTAGCTTTTCTACTGTGAATTGCATTTTTTATACACTGAATTATCTCTTAATTTTCTTATATCTGGCATCCGTTTCCTAAGTTTTCGAGATAGTTGAGCTTTTATTGTACATTCATTATCACTTTGTAGTTGAGTAAAATCATGCATAGATGAATGGGATACCAATCCCATAAATAAATGGTTACGTTTGATTTACAGTGGTACCTCGACATATGAGTTTAATTCATTCCGTAACCTTGCTCGTATCTCGAAGCAATTTTCCCCATTGAAATTAATTTAAATGCCATTAATCCGTTTCAGCTCCTAAAACACCACCTTAGTTATTTTTGTTAAGTGTTTTTGAATAAGAAAAATATATTTACAAGAAAAAACATTTATTTATAAATAACAAATACATGTTCTATAAAAACATAATTAAAAGAAAAAGTGAAGTGCTTACAAAAGCGCTTAATTTTTGTCACTGGTCTTCGCTTTTTTCGTCACGCTTTGCTCATTTTCACTTGCAGATCATTTAAAAAAACTGTCCAAGGAAGTTTGTTTCTTCCTCCCTTTCAGGATATTGCGGAAATGAGTTAGGCAAGTTTCGTTGAACAACTCCGATGCATGACTAGTTGCAACTTTTTCGGGGTGATTTTTATCCACAAACTCTACAACTTTCTCCCACATTCTTAAAATCTCCTTTATATCTCTTGCAGGGATAACCTCCTCCATCTCTAGCTCCTCTTCAAAACTAATTTTTCATTGAACCACCGTATGCTGCTGTGAATGTAGATCGTGTAACTCTTCAGTTGTCAGCTCCTGAGACTGTTCCTTGTTGAGTTTGTCCACAACTCTCTCATCCACCTCCAAACCCATGGATTTTCCCAGAGAAACAATCTCCTCTACCACTGACACTTCTGGTTCCAATCCTTTGAAGGCCCTTTCAGCTACAGTGCTTCTTCCATGAAGAGGTTAAGGTCCTCGTTGCAATACCCAGCCAGGCCTGATCAGTAATTCTTAGGCATATCACACGCCTTGCTCATGTTTTTCTGTGATTTCACGCTTTAATTCAATAGACATCATCTTCTTCAGACCCATGGTTATAAAAATAAATGTGATAATGTTTTGTAAATATACAAAATGCAAAAAACGCGAACCCAGCTTATAAAAAATGTTTCGGAAACAAGCACACAGACTGAGGTCGAGTCTGAGGTGGGAAAAACTGTTAGAAATGCACGTGCATGTTGTCGTGTGCAGTTGTGTAGTGTACGATTCTTCGTAATTCAAATCTTGCTCTCATCTCAAAGCAAAGTATCGCTCGCTCGGCGGCTTGTATCTCAAAACACTCGTATATCGAGGTACCACTGTATTGAACTATGGTAAAGCATGCAAGAGGTATTTGTTTGAAGGGAAGTTGGTTCATATCCTCATTGCACATTGGGAAAATATGAAAATGCCAGTGCAGCCAGCCCGTTTGCTGGAAATGGAACCCAAGTCAAACTATCATTGTTCAGCTGTTTTACCCCTCAGCCACTGGTGGGTCCATAAATAATGCAATGTAGTTCATAATAGAGATACTAGAAATACTTTGTTTATTTCTTCTGTCTTGGGAAAAAATGGTATCTGAACTTACCTGTATCCAATACAGCAAAAATTATTAAACATTAGAACTGTAATGTTAACAATATTGCTTAAACATCACAGGTGTCATGATCATTAGTTTCGTATTAATATATGCCAAAAATGTAAGCTCTAGCCAAGAAGGAACGTGAATTCTTGCATGGGTGAATGTGTTTGTAAGTCTTCAGCTTGCTGGCCTGCTTATCTGTTTTTGTACCAAATTACCACAAGGTTGGAAGGTGGAACATTTACACAAAATCCAATTTTAGTTTCTATGAAAGGTATTGTTGCCTAGCAATGACATTCAGTTTATGTCACTTGTGAGTGTTAAACCATTGTATTAACATTCATTTTCTGGGTTAAAATTTACTAGTGTGCAATGGATTTTAATTTAACCGTGTTTAATAAATATTAAAACTAAATTTGCTGATGAAGTAAAATATATCAAATATAAATTAGACCATTCAACTTAACTCATAATGTTTATGAATTTATTGTTCGGCCATGTTGCCTTATTTAAGTAATAATGGTTCCTAATGAGTAAGCTTTTTTATTGGTAAATTTGTTCTTGTTATATAATTTAAACAGTCATATTAAAAACTTTCATTTTCTGTTTTATTTTTAGCTTCCCTGGTGTGAAGAAGGATATCAGTGCTTTTGTAGCGTCATCTAGTGCTCCTAAATCTTCTGCAAAAGTTGAAGCAGGTGATGATGATGACATTGACTTGTTTGGGTCTGATGAAGAGGTAATTTTTTTTCCTTCGCTTAATATATAAAAGCATCTTTTTAATTGTACTATTTTAGTTTTTTGTAAAATGGCTGTTTTAAAATATATAAACAAATTTTCTCACATGTAGGAATAAATTTGTTGCAATTTTGTTATCAATGTATTATTTGTAGCTTTGAACTTTTTGCTTTCATATAACTCTTATTTCTCCTCTGTTTTTAAAATGAATGTTAACCACTTGTGCTGACTAAACTTTACAGATGACGTGCCATGCACTACAATATAACAAGCAGTAAAGTGTCATTTACGCCACTCTGCGTCTGCGAGTGCATGTGTGTGTGTGTGTGATTATGGCAAAGCCTCGAGGGCCATCTGCCTAAGGGTTGGGATGCCTTCGTGGAGGACTTTCTAAGGGAAACTGGCTCATATACATGTTACACATGGGAAAAACGTGAAAACGCTCATGCAGCCAGCCCGTTCGCAAGATTTGAACCTTGGACTGAACTACCAGTGTTCAGCGACTTTACCGCTCGGCCGCTGGTGGGCCTGCATCTGCGAGTACAATCCAGAACTGTAACTCGACAAATAAACAATCTCGTTGTTAGGCGACATGTGCACCACGTTATTTTCATTTTTGCGCGCAGTTTGAGACAAAAGCATCTCAACGTACGTGGCCTGTCTTTTTAGCACAAGTGGTTAATCTTGGGGCAGGTAGAAATTATTTTTCAAATGGTAGGTATCAATAATTAAAATCTGGAATGACTTTATATGTATATCTTAACTTTATTTGCATTCTATCTTGAGAATATTGTATTCGAAAGGATATAAAATTAAATTTGTTATTAATCCATATAAAACCTACAATAACTTTTCTTTCCCTTCCTGAAGATGAAATATATGGTACAAAAATTGCTGCTACACAAAGGCAAAATAACAAGTCAAAGAATTACACAAACTCTGTATTCATGTACACATTGACCTATTTCCATTTAAAAAAAAAAATATCAGAGAATTGCACAAACATGGCATTGTGCACTTTATCAATGTAACACATCAACCTATTTTTGCTTAAAGAGTCAAAGGAGCACCCAATTCTAGAGCCAAACAAAAAATACATAATCCCAATAAACTACATTTTAAACAATAAAATAACATAAAAAAGGAAATTCATCTTGTGCATCTAAGCACTACACAAAGCAAATATCCACTTATATTATTTAGAAATTTCTACATCTTCAGTCTGTGACACACAAAATTCCTTAACAGCATCCAAAAACTTCCTAAAATTATCTGAACTAGAATCCATATATCAACGTCACCACATACATGTTTGAATCCCGCGAACGGGCTGGCTGCATGGGTGTTTTCGTGGTTTTTCCCATGTGTAACGTGTATACGAGCTAGTTTCCCTTAGGAAAGTCCTCTACGAAGTCATCCCTCCCCTTAGACAAATAGCCTTAGTGTGCTTTGCCATAATTAAATAAACCAAACCATCAACATCACCACATAAATTCACAAAAATAAGAGTCAAAAATATCCTCCAATGTTCAACCATACTCAATTCCTTCCTACAAACAGGACATAATGGCTACTAGGTAAACCTTCATTTACACACCAGTTAATTAATGCTCTCTTCCCTTTTCATTCCAAATCGTACAGGGACTTCAGTTTAATCTTATCACATTCAGCCATTCTACCATCTAAACCACAGTACAAGCAATATATTTCCTAAGCAACACACACCACAAGCCCTTACAGATCTTTCCCACCATTAATAAATTACTGCAACCACACAACCAATTACGTCATAATAGGGTTTCCATAACATTCAATTACTCAAGTTACTATTAATGAAATAACCTAATAATAAATGAAGCAATAACTTGATGATAAACAAAACAACTATGGGATAATACAATCCTTTTGGGCACCCTTCAATCTTCTCTAACTGAAATATATATATGTGTGTGTGTGCAAATGTAGATGCTATGGTACTGAAGAAGATGTTGATCTATAACAAATAGCAACTTTACAATCAAGGCAGGTTAAATATTCAGTTTTATTTTGGCAAACATTTTGCAGCCACTAACAAATTGGCACACTACTTTAGTCTTTTCAAGAACATTTACATTTTGAATTGCTTTGTGATAAATAAAGAAGCAGAAGTTTATCTGTGCCAAAGTTCAAAAAGCAAGTCTTGCATTCAGGATAAAATCTGAATTCAGAATGAGTTAGTTTCTGTTTTCAATGCATTTGATTAATAATTAATGAATAATGGTATAAAATTATTATTATATATATAATAATTGTTCACACAACAATGACTCACAAAAGTGTTCATATGCTTACAAGTTTCAGTGAAATATTGTTTTATTCATTAATAAAAATTATTACTTTAGAATTGAATTTTTTTAATAATATCTATAAATTTCTCTTAGCAAAACTACTTTAATTATTTTATGAATATTAAAACCGTTTTGGGGAAAATCAATAATAAAAAAGTAACAGAAAAGTCACCTCATAAAAGTCTTTGCATGCTTTAAAGAAATCGGCATACATTAGTAAATATCGTAGTATTTTTGTCAGTTAATATTTGTAGTATACCCTGCAGTATATATGACAGCTTTTAAACATCTGAATGTAGAGTTAACCAGTTCCCCCCTCCCCATAATATCTGCATCAGTGTTCCTCCATTCTTCCATTATTACTGTTTATAGTTTGCTTTTTCTTTTAATGTTGTGTCTTCGTACTCTAACCTCTAATTCTCTCCAACTTTGTTCTGTTGGCTTTAACCCTTTGCGACACGCATATTTAAAATATATTTTAATCTTTAAAAAAATGCCTTAGAATAAGTCAGATGGACTTACTTAAGTGCCTTTAAGGCTTGAAAAAAATTCTGCGCTTTTATTTTTTACGGTGGAAGGTGGGATACCGTTTGTCCCACCATGCAACTAACACATGTCTTATAGCATATTGGTGTATAGCAGGAAAAAAATCATATGTGGAATGAATAAACAAAATAAAGCGTGCATTCTAAAATATTCATAATAAACACACTAAAATGCATTTTGTACTTTTTGCATATATGCATGACTTGTAAAATTTTGCATATGCACATTTTGCATATAGTATATATTTAATATTTTTAAATTTTAGGAACAAAAGAAAATATTTTCTTGAATATTATTTTAAGATTAAAATTTGATACTCGTACATATGATACTAAATAAAATATTAAAATTGGCACTTGATTCAAAAACATTTATATATGATTAAAAATTGAAAAAAGTCATTTTTTTCATGAAACTTTGAAAAACATGTTGTTTCATTCTTTTGTAAGCATAGAGGCATTTCACATGTTTCACACATCCAAAATGTTCGGTCGTTCTTCTTTCGATATGTGCTGCAATATGCACATTTTCTGCTGCTCCTTCTCTTTGGCGTGTGTAACTTACATTTTTTAGTCTTTTTTCTGGTTGTACGAATGGTTTTTTAGTTTTTATTTGAACTGGGGATTTCAGTTCATCTTTTCAGCTCTTTCTTGCCTGCAAAGTGCCATTAGACCTTCTATAACTGAGAGACTAAGAAAATCTTTCATTGTTTTTACAATCATGATCAGGTTCGCGAACAAACTTAAATAGAATAAATGTGTTTACTATACTCGCATGTAAAAAGGAAAAAAAAATCCATGTGCCACCATTTCTTGCTTTTGCGGCCTATTTCATATAAGTCCTTGTCAGTTGATCAAATCAGTCGACATATTCCCATATTCTTATATGCATGGAATAATGCTGTTTCGGGCACAGTACTTTTTTTGTTGTTTTGTTGTTATTGTTTTTCCATCTCGCTCTTTTCTATTAATTTCTTTCATCTCAGTTGCCTTTTCTAAGCAAAGACAGGATAGAAACGGATCTTTTATCCTTCCATTTTATGCAATAAATTGAATCATCGCTAACTGAAAGTCTATATATTCTCTTGACATAAATTTGTCTTTTAAAATTTGGGTAGATACTTCCGATCCATATTTACTGTGCCACATGCATAGATGGGTCTGTGTCTTTAAAAAGCGAAACAAATTATAACTACTTTTTCCCTTTCTTCTTCAGCAATAACTTCACCTCAGTTTATTCTCTCCTGGCATTTCAATTTCATCTGAATCAGAACTGACATTTGAAGCATTTGAGTCGCAATCGGATGGCAATTCAGCAAAAAGATCCAAAGCTTCCTGAGTTGTTAATTTTTTTCTAGACATTTTAGCACATCAGAGCATACAATGGATGTAAAAGAGCGCACAATCACGAAAAAAGTAGATGCGAAAAAGAAAAGAAAAAATAATCGTGAGTGCTGCCATCTATTGAGCGGAAATTCAAGTGTGTGGTGGGACAAATTTTAACCCACTTATTTCAACTGCAAAATTAATGTTATAAAATATTGAATCCAATTAAGATTTTTGAAAATAAAATACCTTTGAATATTAAAAAGAATCATACATATCATAAATTTGTATACCAAAATTTTTAAAATATGGAAAAATGCGAGATACATGGATATCACTCTTGTGATCCTATTTTGAATATTTTTTGCTTATAAACTTAAGCCCTGGTATAGTAGTAACATATACTGAGAAAAATAATAACTAAAATAGATTATTTTTAAAAGATTAGAAAATTTCTAACGGAAATTGTTAACTGAGAAAATAAATATTAATTAGGTGGGACATACATTGACCCACCATGCCGCAAAGGGTTAAATCTGGTTACTGAGATGGTATTTTCCTCCACCACCAAGCTTTACTGTTCCAACCAAGGTCTTGTGATTAAGCGCCTCTTCCCCCCTGCCCTCGTACATTTATATGCCCATTGGAAACCAAAATGTTCTATTTGCTTTCATTTGCAGATAAGACATGATTCCAAAATGCTTTACCATCGATTTTGAGAAGAAAATTTTCTATTTTTTACACTTTCAAAAATTTTTCTTTCAGCAGATCACCCGTGTAATCCAGCTGATCTAAGCACACATCGAACAGTTTTAGGTGAAACTGAAGTAGAAGATCTTTCAGTAAATTGTGTAAAAATCTTTACAGCAGTCAAGCGGGAATTTTTTGCAAATTTTCTAACTGTAGATCTCTGATCACCTTGAGTCATGTCGAATCCTCTTTGGTGGACAACTTCTTACTTTATCTTGTATCCTATTTTCTTCTTTAGAGCATTTTATCACATACTGCAACAGATGGGATAAATTTACTAATGTAGTGATATCCAAAATCAAATTTCCATCCTTATGATAAGGAATTATTAATTTTTGAATGTTGTTCGTTGGTTCCTTACGACTACGAGACATTTAAGCAAGTCCAAAATAAAAATGTGGTAGACGATAATTTTATTTATGGAATTTTACGAAAATGTTTCGGTGCACAATCACTTTTGTGGAGTGCTTTACCTATACCAAAATTTTCTTTTTACTTGTTGAAAACACATATTTTTACTTATGCAACAAATGATACAAAATGATTATAAATGTGCTTAAGAGCTTTTTTTATATTGTCTAGGATGCAGAAGCAGAGAAGTTGAAGGAAGAACGGCTGAAGCAGTATCAAGAAAAGAAGGCAAAAAGTGAGAACAATTGCTGCCTGTTATTTTCTTAAAGTCAATTAAGATTTGCAGCAAACTTTCGCTATCAGGTTATTATATAACTAGTGACTCTCCCGGTTTTTCATCACACCTCCCGATCTCCCAGCAGTTTCTCAGATTTCCCAGTTTTTATTTTTAGCCTTTACTAATGAAAGTGTTTTTCAACAATAAATTAAATTTATTGAATTAAGTTGTGCAAATTTCATATCACCACTTCTGGTATTTTTGCTTAGTTTTTGTAAACTGTGCAGAACTTTATATGAAGATTCAAAAAATATTTAATATTAATATCTATATTTAAGTTTGTTTTGCATCAATATATGGTACATTACTAAGCTTATTCTCATTATGCTATATATACTTATTACTAATTTTACTTTCATAGTAACTAAAGTGAACACTGGTAGTTCGGTCCGAGGTTCGAATCCCGCGAACGGGCTGGCTGCATGGGCGTTTTCGTGGTTTTCCCCATGTGTAACGTGTATACGAGCCAGTTTCCCTTAGAAAGTCCTCCACGAAGGCATCCCTCCTCTTAGGCAGATAGCCCTCGAGGCTTTGCCATAATCACATACACATACACACACACACACACATAGTAATTAAAGAGAACTCCGATAAGTTCAAATTATCTCTGCTCAGTTTAGCAGTGTAAGAAAATTGTAAAATGAAATGAGCTAAAAATGTGCAAATTTAGAATATCCAATTAAATATTAATATATTTTTCACCTGCTGAATAACTTGATTCGTGCATTGTAAAGTGAATTTAAGTCAATTTGGAGTCCTTTTCAGATGCTGCTGCCCTCCAACGTGAAAACCTCCCAGAAACTCTCTTATGTGAGAGAATCTTCTGGTTTTCCATATTTTAAGGTTAGCAGCTATGTTATTAATAACAGTCAAATATATTTGACAATGCTTGTATTTGGTAAGGATGATACTTTTCAGTACAGTTTGACTGATTTGAAGTTACTATTATTTATCACAGCTGCAATTAACCAGTCCCTTCGCTGATGGTTTAATTTTTACATTTTTGTATTTGTTCAGTTGAAGCACAAGAATTCTGCACTCGCCACGTGGAAGACTAATTATTTTCTCAACAATCTTTCTTTTGAAAAACAGTAGATAAAACTGAATGCAGTTAAAGAATGAGTTTTTTTAAGATATTGTGAGTTATATAACCAGGGTTGCCATGCTACCTGAAAAACTGGGAAAAGTCAAGGAATACGAAAATTGACTTAAAAAGTTGAGGAATTTAAATATTTTAAACAAAATCTGGAAAAGTCAGAATTTCGTATGGACGAAGCCCCTCAAAAAGTAATTTTTACATTGGAAGCGATCACTTGTTGAATTCATTCAAGCATCTGGCGTCGAGCCAATTTTCGCAGCTCCAGTCAAATTGTCTTTTAGAAAGGCAAAGTAAGTTTCCAGTAACCTCAAGAATTGTGAGATTCGCATGCGCATGTGCAATGCATGTTGAACGAAAGAAAATATCTTCCCATTCTCGTATAAAACAAAATCGATTTAATCCTTGTATACAGGGTTTGATGACATGATGATGAGTGGTAAATCAGACATTTATGATGAGCAATAAATGGGTCATTTTGGTGTTGGTGACAATTTTTAAAATCGGTTGAAGGCCGTATTGTTTACTAGGATTTTACCACAAAATCTTATAAACCTTTTTTTTCCTTTTTAATAAATGCCTTATTTTTCATTTTGCAGTAAAATAAAGAAAATAGTAGTCGTCATCTAGGCTTTTTAATATAATTATATTCGCCAAAATACCGTTGATTACTGTAATGCAGGTTTTAATCTTTAAGTAATTAACTTTATTTCAATGTTATTTGTATCATCTAATGTGGCTTTTTCCTTCTAAATTTACTTGTTATTAGTTAGTAATACCTTCAAATTTCAGGCAGTTTTCTCTGGCATACTCCTAGAACTAATTCTAGCTGTATACCATCATGAAATTTAATGCACATATTTTTTTTTATCCAGATTGCGCAGATTCTAATCTCAATCTTTAGTGGAGAAAACAACTTCTATTATTATAATAGTAATCCTTTGAGGATTAGTCGTATGCAATTGGCAAATTTTTGTGTTTACAACTGGTACCATAATTAATTTACCTCTCAGCACAGCCAATGTGCACTTTAAGATTATAACTGTAGGCAATTTTATTGTGATTGCTTAGGTGCCAAATTTTCAAGCCCGTGAAGAAATTTTATTTCTGTTTCTCGTTTGTTTTAACCCTTTGCCCAACATACAATTTGGTTAAGAAAAACCAAATTTCCCAAAACTGTTGGGAGAAGAGGTATTTTTTCGTTTTTATGCCAAAATGCCCCTGGTACTTTATACCTTAATTTGTGTACTTTTAATAGATTGCTTTAAATTCTTTGGCATGTGTCAAGATGCACTTATTATATGCTTTCTGACTTCACAAAAAAAATGGCCTTGCCAGTCAGAGTGTTAAATCGTGCTTGTAGTTCAGCATTTAAAATTTTAAGAATCTGGAGAGTGTAAAGAGGGAAATGAGTCTATTATCGCTACTATGATATATGAGATATTCTGTAATAATGGTTAGAACTAGGAACTGAGCTTAAGGAAATGGCTGGAGAAAAGAATTAGGACAGTTCTTCAAACAATTTGTAACCTTTTTTTTCCCCAGAAATTTTTCTTCCTTTAACCTCTATCAATAAAAATTATTGACTTGCTAAATTCATGAAGTAAAGCATTTTTCAATTAAATTAAAATAGCAATCAAAACAATAGCTGAAAAACTTTGAGCAGCATCTACTAATTTTATATTTATCAGTTATGTTTTTATATGTTTAAGCCACTTCATTCTATGGCAGTAGCGTGAGAAATTTTAATTGTGGCATAAACTTAGACATAAACAGATATATATATATATATAAGAAAAATAAAGAATATGTATTTGCACTGCACCATTTTGAGACTAATACATGTCGTATGACTCTTACATAATTCTGCTTAGAAAGTCCTCCACGAAGGCATCCCTCTCCTTAAACAGATAGCACTCGAGGCTTTGCCATAATAAAAAACCTAACCTAACCTTACATAATTCTGATGATGTAAATGGAACTAAAGCTGAAACAGCCAATAGCAATTTTACTGTAATATTAACTATCCAATCAAAATGAAATTGAGACATTTCTATGATTCAGTCATAATGAAATACGATAAATTTCTATGTACATGTATGTATGATTCTTAAAATTAAGCCGCAGGCAGTTTAGACGGGGGAAGCAAAGTGAGGAGCTATTAGCATAGTAGAAGCTAGCAGAAGTGTGACAGAATTAATGACTTAGTTAGCTTGCTAAAGGATTTATACCAAAGTAGGTGCAGATCAGAAACAAGCTATAATAGGTCAATACAGTCAAAAGTCGTTAATCCAGACTCGATGGGACTTCAGCGATTCCGGATTATAGATCATCAGTTTAAATCTCGTAAGATAGGATGCAGAAATTTTAAATTAAAAATATGAAACCGTAATTTATGAAATAAAAAATGATTATGATCTAAAGGGTATCAAAATTTACAAAAAAAAAAAGCTTAATATTTATTTGTTTACTTTATTAAACATTTCTTTCAATGTAATTTGTTTAAGTTGCTTCGTTTTATGTGATAATACTTTCTCTAATTCTGTAAACAGACATAATTTCTTGTTCAATTACAAAGTTCCGCTGTTCAAGTCCTGTTAATTGCTGTGCCGAGAATACCGACTAACTTGCCAATCGAAATTTTTTTGTTTTCACTAACCTCTCTGTCACATTCTTCATGTCTTTATCCATTTTTTGCAGCAATTCCACTTTTTGTTTGATGGACATGGAAACATACTTTCGTTTTGTATGATCCTTTGGGAGCTCCAGAATCAGAAGAAATTCTATTTGACATAATCGAAAGTTCAAGTTTACTTTTATAGTATTGCTGTTACAGTCTGCAAAAAATAATAAGCCGAATCCAATTCGAAAATTAAGGAACAGTGCAATCATCAACATTAACTGAAATAGATAATTAGATAATTTTTGCATATACCGTCCCTTATACATAAAACACGCATGCGAAAACGTATTCTGCGCTTGTGCACACAAATATGCGCAGACGTAAAAGGTCTTACGCGCACGCGTAAAAGCCTATGCGAATGTGTCAACGCGGCGCATGCGCAGAAAGTTTTTAGCTTTGAGGTCCGGATTATGGGTGTCCAAATTAACGACTTTTCACTGTATTAGTTTTAGTTACCTTTCTCAAGCATTGTTATGTAACATCAAAAGATCTCAAATTAGGGAGAAAAGGTGAATTTAGGGGGGGGATCACCAAATGTAGAATGTCAATTTAAGGACAAAGCCGTTAGGTTTGTTTATGCAAGTCATTATTCATGACCTTTCTCATACATAGTTTATGTAAAATTTAAACAACTAATTTACAATAACAATGTAATTTCTAAATAAACTAATTAATAAATTTGCAATTACTGGGTTGATATTTTCTTGCTTCAACCTCATATCCTAGAAAATTTATTTTTTCTTTAGCAAAATTACACTTAAATTGTCTCAATTTCATAATCTCTTTTTCACATATTTCAAATATTATTTTTAAGATGTTCATTAAAATTTGGAGAGAATACTATAATGTCATCAAAATAACTTAAAGCAAACTGAATTTGATACTTATTTAAAATTTGTCTAAGGGCTCTTTGAAAAACAGCTGGGAAATTTTTCCAACTGAAAGGTAATCTAGTAAATTCATATAAAGACCAAAATATGTAGTAAATGCCAAGTTTTCAGTATCTTTTTCATTTTATTTGATATGCCAATAACCTAAGTCTGTGGGAAAAAAATTTGCATTTGTTAACTAATCTAATACAGCATCAATCTAGGCATGAGCTCAGAATCAGTTTTTAGTAGTTTGATTTTTCTGAAAATCAACACACATTCTAGATTTTGATTGTTCATCTGTCTTGTAAGCCTCATCTCTCTCTCTCTCTCTTGTAAGCAATTGATCATTATCAAATTCACTATTTTTAACATGATTATAATGAAGTGAATATAAAAAATAAATGTAATTAATACAGATAAATAATATGAAATTATGATAAATGCCTGTTAAAATTTATGGGTGACTGTTGAGTATGTTGGTGGAGTACTGGTTCCTAAACAAAGGCCTGTTATTACTCTGCACAGTTGTTCCTTTTACCTGCAAGGTAATGTTGAAGGCTCTCGTTTTATGACTGTAATTTTATTATGAAATGTATTAGTGCTGTTCTTAAAGGTAACCTTAATTAAGGAATGGAGGCCTTTTCAAGTAACTGCCTAGGCATCCCTGAATCACTAGTGCGGAAGAACACTGGTTAGCTCAAGAGGATAGCCCTAATAATGGATATGTTTGTTTAGAAATGTTGCAAGGCCTTCCAGTTTGGTAAAATCAACCATTGTAAATAAAAGATAATAATGGTGAAACCATAATTTCTGAAAATGTTGCTCCTATTATTTATGGTGTTAAAACATAATATATCAATATGGACTTAGTATCTTAAATATTTGTGTCTTACATTTAATTATAAATAATGATTATCTAAAAAGTTTTATTTGTTATACTCTGTGATAACAAGCACCTTCCCTGAAGAACTATGATTATGTGAACTCTCAAACAAGAAGACTTTTGGACTAAAATACTGAAAAATTTTAAAGGGCTCTAAAAATTTATTTTTAACAGTTCATATTTATAAATTATACTTTTCAGTTATTTATTTAATTATTGCTGATCAAAATGTTATGATTTACATTTTTCTTAAAGAATATGTAAAAGATTTAATTAGCAGCGTAAATTAATTTCCCTTCTATATATTTAAAAATAGTAACCTCTTTGTATTGCATCATTTCGAGACTAATCCATATCATATGGCTTTTACATAATTCTGATGATGTAAGTGGAACTAAAGCTCAAATAGCCAATATTAATTTTATAGCAATATTAACTATCCAATCAAAATGCATTGAGAACCAAAACTATGTCAGTCTGAATTAAGATTTCACCCTCGGCGTAACACACTTGCTTTCTGTGCTTTAGCCTAGCTGAACTGCAGTCTGTCTGCTCCTCCTATCTTACTGCAAATTTATCTAAAATCTAAACTTTTAGGAATTGGCACATTTAATGTGCCAACTTGTTTGTGGCTGCAACATATTTGCTGAAATAAAAAAATGAAGATTTAATCTGCCTTCGCCTCCAATTTCCTTCCTGGTCATTACTTCCGAGTTTGATTTTATCACACACATTTATATGTAATATTTTTTTCTCCCAAATTATAGAACCTGGTGTTATAGCAAAATCTAGTGTGGTGCTCGATGTCAAACCTTGGGATGATGAAACAGATATGGCTGAAATGGAGAAGAAAGTGAGAAGTGTTGAATGTGATGGTTTAAAATGGGGAGCCTGTAAGTATCAATACTTGAAAAAAAAAAAAAAATCAGTATGTACTACTAATATGATTATTCCAAATTAATTTTGATGGAAAATGCTGATAGTTAAAATTAAAGCATGTAACTCTCCCAATGGTCGGAAGACCATATTATTGCCAACTGATTTGCCTCTTAATTTTAGCAGGTGAAAAGGGGGCAGCTTCTTTACTAATAAGTGTGGATGAACACATTGTTGATTTTTGTTATTATCTTGAAAAGATTTCTAAAAGGAAGAATAATTGAAACAATTCCAGTAGCTACATAATACTAAAATAAGAAAAAAATCTGAAACGTGTATGTTTCATGAAAATATGTTTTATGAAAGTCTTTTTCTAAGTTGAGAAGAAAAATTCTAGTAAAGTTAATTTTGTTTTCTGATATGTTCTTTTAAGAATAAAATGTTCTGGTGTATCTGATTATATAAATAGAAGTAATATCACCTCAGAAAAGTATTACTCTGTAAAAGTACCTAAAACAGTGCAAAGAATGATGATTCTGTGAAAAATGTGCTTTAGCAACACAATCTTTTTTACGATGTTTGGAAAATCAGAAAGCTAGATTCATCAGAATTTCATGTTTACAACCAGTGACATTTGGGGTTCCTTTCTGTTTTTCTTTTATATTGTTTGCTAATAATTGCCAACCTAGCTAGTAATAGATTTATATGATTCACATCTTAATAGAACTGCAATACTTTGAAAGATTGGTACTATTCTGTTATTGAGACCAGATGCAGAAATGTATGAGTGTATGTAAGTATGTACATATATGTGTCATATGTATGTATACATACACACTTGTACTTACATATACATGCATACATGAACACATATACATGCATGTATATATGCATACATTTCTGAATAAGGTCCTGATAACAGAACAGTAATGAGTTTTAGTCTTTTAGGGATAAGTTTTTTTTCCCCCTGTTCTAGATTTATGATAAATAGAATTAATTACCTTCATAATCCATTGATCTATTGATACTGAAATTTGACTTTCAATCATTACTATCTGTACAAATCTTAAGATGTATTTACTGCAGGCAACAGGAGTCATTGGTTATCCAGGTAGATAACAATATATACCTCTGATCAGTTTCTTTCAAGAGAACAAGATTTGTATTTCTGTTATTTATTCCCAAAAAATATATTATCAGTTGCATAAATTTATGGTAACAAAGTTTGTGTATTCTATTTTAAATGACACACAGCTTTTTGTTATATTGAAGTTATTCACTATGTGAGTATAATTAGTCAAACAAATTAAAAGTTTTAATTTTGCTTTTTTGGGGGGGGGAGGGGTTATGAGCTGAGAATTTTAAAATGTTTTCTTTCGCATGTAATAACAAATATTATCAACTGTTTTGTTTTTCTTATATTTTTAATATTTTACTTATCTGTTAATATTTTCGCTAGCTAAACTGATTCCACTTGCCTATGGTATTAAAAAGCTACAGATAATGTGTGTTGTAGAAGATGAAAAAGTAAGTTTGCAAAATAGTTTCATTAAAATTTTTAATTAAATAATGTATATGCCATATTATATTAATACTGTATAGTTGGTTTAACATAATAGTATTAACAACTAACATATTTTTATCAGCAAGATGAATCATCTGGTATGTGATTTTATCATGCTTAGTTATTGCATGTGCAATATCTGTAACCTACAAACATTAATTTTCAAAAGTTTAAAAGTTAAAATATAAAGGCATTATTCAAGATTTAAATAGATATCTTAAAATGTAGAAATGAACTTCAAGGGATCTGAGGTTTGGTGTGCTGCATCTAGTTTTAGGATAATAGACTATGTAACAAAAACATTTTAAAATTGAATGATGAAACAAAAAATTGATTAATGTTATCCCGTCTACCAAAAAAAGTGAATATTAAATCTGATGTTGATCATCCTTTTCCAGTTTTGCTATCCTTTAATAATTTTACATAATTTAAGTAGCATAATAGTTCTGATCTTTCCTTCAAATTAACATTTACAATTGAATAATTATTTATGAATAAAGATACAAAAGCTGTAAAAAAATGAATAACAAAAAATATTTTGCTATCTATGAGATTGTAGGAAGATTTTTCTCAGTGTTATAATTCAAAAATTGAAGATTCCATTACTTACAGCTCTACAGTTTTTATCAATAAAACTTACTAATTATATATATTGCTGCCTTGGCTGTGGTAGGGCTCTTTCCGTGCATTGCATTTTCTCAATATTGTGATCAAAAGAAAAAATCTGCAATGTCAACATTTTTTTTTTTTTTTTTAATTTCTGTCACAGTACCTTCAGCACTTGGATCTTTGCATGTAACAACAATATTATTGCAAGATTAAAAAATTCCATTCACATTCTGAAGATACTGAAAGGTCATTCTTTTCAGTTAGCAAAAGGCAAATCCCAGTTTCCTCTTTAATGCCCTTGTAACTGCTCACTAAGTCTTTTTTAGCTGTAGCATTCTAACAAGAAGTGAAATGATGTCATTGCCAGACTTAATGCTTAAATATGCTGCTTCCTGAATTAATACTTCATGCTGCTCTCATGCTTTGATCCATAGGTTTCAGTACTTATGTTGCATTCAGGAGCAAGAAAATATCTTAATCCATACTAAATTAACATCTGTGTGTGTAATACAGTTGCCAATCAAGAAAAGAAACCTTCTCTTTCTAACCAAAAGTTCTTCATCCAACTTTTGTAATTCTTCAGATAGTTTTTATGTCAATCATGCCTTGTGATTAGCTTCATATATCACAACGTTCATGTTTTATGAGCATCATAGCGTTGAAATTTTTTAGTCACCAAAAGCTTAAGATGAAAGGCATTCATATTGGGACACACACTAATTGTAACTCTTTGCACTTTTAACCATTTTCCACCAGTGCATATATGGCTTCTACAATTTAGTGTTTTGTTTGGAATTATTTCATAAAAGGGCCTAATTTAAACTGCACTGAAAATGTCTTGGTATGATGTTGAAAAATGTTGTTCTACTTCTTAAACCTATCCGACCAGCCATTTGAACATATAAAGGTAGTTTTTCTTATATTTAAAGTATTTTCTTCCTTACTACATATCTGTCGACACAAGGAGGCAAAGTCGCTTAGCAACACAGTCTTTGTTGCAGTCATCTGATGCCTCACAGTATTTCATGTAAACAGGGTGATTTTGTATCTTAAGTTGCTAGAAGCTACTTAGTCCAGTCAGAGCAGTCAAAGTAAACAATGTGATATGTATTCAATAGGAAACCTGTATTGGTCTCACAACAAGCATGATAATTTGCAAACTTTTAATGCCATTATTCTTCAGGGTTTAATTTTTAAAATAAACTGTAATATATACAAGAGATTTAATAGCGGAAAGTAACTGTGACTAAAAGTGCAAAACACACAAAGTAATAAAAATTGTAAATTTAAAAAAAATATATAAAATTAGGAAAACAAGTCATTGTGAAATATGATGCATGTGTATATATTAGTTTTTGATTTATATATCCAAAACTGAAATATATATATAAATGATAACATTCATTTTTATAAGAGAAGAAAACAAATAGATTGGTTCATATATAGCATAATATATAACATACATTGCTGATAATGAGATCCCTAGTAAAGTGTCAATTTATAAATGTAAAAATCTAATAATTGCAATTATATAATTAATACAAAATTAGGTAAATAATTAAGTCTTGCATAAAATAATAAAGTAACTTAAAATTATGTGTTACAAATAAAAAATTTTATATTAACAAAATTCTGTTGATTACAGAAACCACAAAACATTAATTTCATGTAGAAAAATCAGAAAATGTCTTAGCTGAATGCGAACTCACAGTCTGATAGTTCGTGCAAAATTTAACACTTTGGTAAGTAGGCTGAGGTCTGTAGATTTGGCTGAGTAATCGAGCTAGGTAGACCTAGCCTAAAAAGTTGAAAAATAAGAATAGAAAATCGAAAATATAATCAAATGCAAACAGAAGGTAGATTAATATTTTCTTGTTTGTCCGATTCCGGAAAACATTAGAGTATAGTAATTCCTTTATAATAAGGCGGGAACTTCCACCATATTTAATTAATACTAAAATTGATGTAAAAAGTGCACAGCTCTTTAGCCTACAATAACAAACCACTTGCATTAAGGGGAAGAAATATTCTGTCATTTATAAAGAAATCCATTAGAAATTGTGATTCGAAACAAGTGTATCATAAGTTTGTTAAAATTGTTACAAAAATTCCAAACAGTGTGCTGTATATGTTATTTAGTAAGCAAAACTCTGATTCAGTATCTGCCATAGCTTTTAAGGCACATAATTTCCATAAACAATTTCATGAGCTGTTGCCAGATAAGTCTCTTGGAGCATTGTATCCCATGATGAACAATAAGCATGATTCCTAGTGCAGGTGCTGTGGATATGTTTCTCCTTGTAGATGGGCTGGTGCAGATGTCAAGAGATAATTTTTCAGAGAGATGTCTCCTTGTGTAGACTGACGGGCTTTTGGTAATTTAGAAGGAAATATGTCTGGCTGGCAGTTGGGAAATCCTGCTTATGGCAGTGCACATGTTTCATCCTTCAGCAAACATAATAATTATGCAAAAAGTGCTAACCTTTATCTGAAGCATTTCTCCTGATATTTGCAGACATTAGCTTCTTTGAATGGCAACCATTCAACAGTGCTTCTGCAACAGCCTTGCGATTGATCTCTCTCATTCTTTTCTCTTGTATCTAATTTTTTTTCTATAAGCAAAAGTAATCAAGTCTTGATTTTCCATATGATATTTGTTGGCTGTAAATTTGGATAAAACTGTATTTCCGAGAGTTATTGATTAGACTCGTCCATTTTTTTTTACTTTACAAATATGACCACTTATTGTCATTGTAGACACTTTATACGAATTTTTGATGCAGAATGCAGATATTTTGGTTAAAGAATATGTGAGAGTTTTGCTTTTCTGGTAAAGATGCAAAAGAAAAATATTTTTCTTAGCCATTGCCTGGTGAGAACGGGATCCTTTTCCATGTGGTCCAGTATGGTTGCAAAACAAAGATTTACTTGCCTTTATAAAAAAATTCCTTGTAGCTTGCTAAAGCATTTGAAATCTTTTGGAAAACAGAACTTGGGCAGCCAATATACTCAAACAAAACAAATTGATAAGGATAATAATTTTCATTCTTTAAAGGAACAATAAACTGTATAGTGCCAAGCTCATAAAATTCACTACTTCCTCTTTCCCTTAATAGCTAAGCATTCAAAATTTTGATCGTAGTACTAGATTCCTCATTGAAAAAGAACATGACTATGTAGAACATAAAATTAAGTAGAAAAGCAACCTTGGCTTAACATAGATATTTTCAAGGGGAAAAATAATAATAAAGCATCCTTCAAAAATGTTTTTGCTCCTAAAGAAGCAAGATATGTCTGGTAGTCTTCAAAATCTAACTAAGGTTGCTTTTATGCCTAATTTTAAATTGTTGACTGAAATTCAATTTGTGTCTTCACTTCAATTTAGAAAATTATTTTATATTTTGGAAATATTTACTGAATTGTTGATCATAATAAGCATTGTATTTTCTATGTTTTGTGTACAAACAAGAAGGTTGTAGCAGTTCTTCAGTAGTAGTGTCTGAATAATATTAACCGCAATCACATTTAAGTGGCATCTGCTGTATTATTATATACAGGGTGTTTATAAAGTCCCAGACCCATTTTGATGTTTAATAACTCATAAAATAATCAAGATATAAACAAACTTATGGCATTTATTGATGGAATAACTTATATATTTTCGTTTTCAGGTTTGAATATCTTTACTTTTGTAAATAGCGTCTGCGCGTGTGGTTAATTTCAGATAATTTCATTTTCTAGTCTAAATATCTGTACTTTTCTAAATATCGCCTGCTTATTAATTTCATTTAAATCTTTCTGGCATTGTTAATCGCCATAATGTGTGCATATGAGGATCTGAAAACCCCCATGAATACCGTGAGGGACAAAGGGATTCTCCAAAGGTTAATGTGTGGTGTGGACTAATGCACGACCGAGTCATTGAGCCTTTATTTTTTTACAGAAAAGATGTTCTCATCAGTCGTATACTTATACATGTTGGAAAACTTCGTATTTCCACAACTAGAAGAGCTGGAGCCACATGTCTTTTTGCAACAAGATGGTGCACCACCTTATTGGGGTACCATCGTTCGTAGTTCTTTGAATGACCATTTTACAGGAAGATGGATTGGGCGAGGAGGTCCAATTCCTTGGCCTCTCTGATCACCTGATATAACGCTGCTGGACTTTTTCCTTTGGGGATTTGTAAAGGACAACGTTTACAGGAGGAGAATGTCGAACATTGATGACCTAAAAGCCAGAATTACAACTGCAATAGCCTCTGTGGATGCTTACATGCTTGCCGGTACCTGGCGTGAACTTAAATATCGACTTGATATTCTCCATGCAATGAAAAGGGCACACGCAGAAGTTCATTGACAAGGGTCATGAAACTATCTAACCATTTATGTTATATTAATTTTAATCTATCTTTATTATTTTATGAGTTATTAAACATCAAAATGGGTCTGGGTCTTTATAAACACCCTGTATAGATATATATATTTATGCATATAGATATCAGCAATGTTAAAGCATGTATATTAGTATCTCTAAATTGTCTTGGACTTGAAACTTAGATTACTGATATATATATAGCTGGTTGTAACGAAAGTTTTCAGCCAAAAAACGTTCTTAAAAACACATCAAAGCAGTACCTTTAGTGCTGGTAGTAATCACCCCCTAAATCTAAGATTTTCTGCTAATTTGGTACTTTCTGTTTATCTGCAGTTCCCCTAAAAATATTAAGAGTAATGTTCTGTGTTGCCAAAATATATTTATATAGCAAATTAGGCATGCAAAAGACATGTGCCCATTTCTGCTTTCTGATATGATGGTCATTCATGTTTGTTTTTGTTAATTGAGTGCTTTTGGGAAGGCTGGGAAGTTTGCTAGTTGATAAAAAGGGAAACTTTGCATTTCTTCAGGAATGTAGCATTTTGTTCAACAGAAATGCAAAAATTTGTGTTCCATAAAGTTGTATTTTAATCAAAATTTGTGCAATTCTCTGATATATTTTTCAAGTGAAAACAGACACTGTGTGCATGGAAAGAAAATAGCATGGACCGTACCAAATTTATGCTATTCTGTAGTGTTGTTTTAAGTGAAAAGTGGGCACTGTGAACGTGGAGAAAACAATGATGGAAAAAAAAAAAATTACTTAAAGGATTTCTTCAGAAAGTTAAGTGTTGTAATACAGATGTTTCTTACTTTTTTAATTCTATTGATTTTGTTCTCAATACGTAGCATGGCACAGTTTTCAAAATGTCTATTACCTTTCATATATTAATGCTTGGTGAATAATTAGTCACCATTTTGAGTTGGCAGGTTTTTCAGATAATGAGAAAGTACCAAAGATTCTATTTTCATTCTTTTAGTGATTAAAACTGAAGAATATTAATTTTAAATTATTAGAAGCTTTCTTTGTATCGCATATATTTATTCGCATTGAATACCATGTACCATCAGAATTTAAAAATTAAGTTTTGCATTTTTTTTAATACCTTTCCCTTTTCATATAATCTGTGTATTATGCCCTCAGCTGTTAAGTTATAAAGAAAGTCACATTTTAAAGCAAAGTTCTATAACTAATCTTTTTTTAATAAGGAAGAAATGTAAAATTGTGGAGAGTTCTTATTTTTGTCATATCCTGTCATAATGCATATTTTACATAAAATCTGCTCAACAGAAAATGTGTAGAAAGATAATTAAAACTTTTTTACATCCCCTCACTCTGAGAAAAATTATTTAGTTTAGGTGTGTTAAAATCATGTTTGATTGTTTTTATTTTTGTGAATATAAAAAACATTTGTAACATTGTTAATTTCTTGTGCTTATAGGTTAGTATTGATTGGCTTCAAGAAGAAATTCAAAATTTTGAAGATCATGTTCAATCTGTAGATATAGCAGCTTTCCAAAAAATATAATTTTGTTAAATAAATTTTTCTATTCACTGCATATCTTCTTTCATATATTATCCTATGATTATGATTTCATATAGGATCTTCGGAAATTTCATACATGTAGCACTTAAACAGTAAATTTCAGTTCATTGAGTGAAATCTTGTCAGTAATTAATTCAGTAACATTACCTAAATAATATAAATTTCTGTGGATACAAATTTACCCATACTTGTAATTATCTTCAATAATCAAAATTATTTACGTCTTAAGACCAACAAATGCTAAAAACTTGCTTCCAAAAAATGTTTCTTCATATAATGAAAATCATTGCATGATGTCTGTCTATGTTATGTCTGTGTTTCTACATCTTATCCAAAGTTATGTGGGGTATACAATATTGTATTTGTATACTCTAAAGTTTCTTTGCAGATAATAACTTAATGTTTGCGGATAACACTCCAAAAATTATGTGACTTAAAATATCATCAATTTAAGCATCTAAATACATATTATTATGCAGGAATACTCATTTTATGTGAACCATGACTTTTAGAATAGTCAAAGATACATATTAAATAGTTATGTGCTGGAATGTCAGAATTTAAGCCTGGTGTCGAGGATTGAAAAAAGCTACTGTAATTTGAACTCTTATAAATATCAAATACTATTTCTTCCAAATTCAATTCCTTTTTGTTTTTCATGAAGCTCATTAATTTCAAACTTAAATGGTGAAAATTGGTAATCTTGTGTAAGTAATTTACTAAAAGTATTTTTCGGCAAGAAAGGAAATTTATTAAATTAGTGATATTTAGGCAGTGTAAATTTCATTCCTGCATCCTTAGTGGTTTTGAGCATATTTCTTGTTAAATTTTATTTGATCCTAAGTGTTATAATCTGCAAAAGATATTTATACAGGGTTGCCACACTACCTGGAGAACCGGGAAAAGTCAGGGAATTCGAAAATTGACCAAAATATTCAGGGAAAAGTCAGGGAATTTAAGTATTTTTGTCAAAATCTGGAAAGGTCAGGGAAGTTCATACAACGATCCCGCCAAAAAAAAAAAGCGATTTTTGCGCCGACGTCGGAAGAGGTAACTTTTCTGGCGAATTATGTATCACGTGAGTGTCATTCGGGTAGCTGCATAGAGCCAATTTTCGCAGCTCCAATTTGATTGTCTATTAGAAAGGCAAAGCAACTTTTCCCGCAACTTTTGGTTTCCAGTATTCTCGAGAATCGCATGTGCAGTGCATGAACTAAAGAAAGTACCTGTTCTCGTATAAAACAAAATGGGTTTAATCCTAGTATACGGTACCATGGAGGTTAGAATCAAAGAATATGTATTGTAAAGGAGGAAAACCTCTCTGCAACAGACGTGGCTGTGGCTCCATTCCATCGTAGAGGGAAACAGCTGTGCATGTCTGATATATCTGTCGCCAAAGCTCGAAACCGGTGAAGTTCAAAGGTCACATTATCAAGAGTTCATTAAAATGAATATCGTTTAAAATTTCTTTAACCACTTGCGCTAAAAAGACGTGCCACGCACGTCAAGATGCTTTTGTCTCAAACAGCGAGCGACGTGAACACCACATCGATAAGGCATTTATCGCAAAAATGAAAATAACGCTGGTGCACAACACTTCGCCTAACAATGAAGATTGTTTATTTCTTCGAGTTACAGCTCTGGATTGCACTCACAGACGTGCAGAGCGGCGTAAATGAGACACTTTACCGCTTGTTATATTGTAGTGCACGGCACCGCAACCGTGAAGTTTAGTCTTAGCGCAAGTAAATTAATTCACGGATTAGTTATTTTCAGGGGGAAAAAAACTACGAAAATCCGTTTTTAAAATTATTGCGAAAAATCCAAGAAGAAACGTCCTTGGATTTTTCGCAATAATTTAAAAACGGATTTTCGTAGTTTTCTTTTTGTCAAAGAGCGTTTCTTCTTAACACGTGTTTCTCAATTTCCTGTACACATCGCGGAGAGGGAAATTCTGGCCGCCAGGTTCCGTCGCCAAATCCCTTGGCAAATTTTCCCTCTGCATTCTAGCGGCGTAATAGCATTTTACTTGTATGGAACCTTTTCTTTTTTACATAGACGTTCTTTGGTTAGAATAATAATGGGATTTGGCGACATCTTGATGCGCAGTAAACGGGTCATTTTGGTCTTGGCGATAATTTTCAAAATCGTGCCACAAAGCCTTACCATATACTAGAATTTTACCGCAAAATCTTTTTAAACCCCTTTTTTTTTTTTTTTTTTTTTTTTTAATAAATACCTTGCCATTTTGCAGTAAAATAAAAAAAATAGTAATCAGTCATCTAGGCTAGCCATGTAATATAACTGTATTCGCTAAAATATCATTGATTATTCTAATTCAATTTTTAAGTAATTATTTTTACGTTATTCATATAATTTAATGTTGCTTCTTCCCTCTAAATTTATTTATTATTAGTAAATAATATTTCCAAATTTCAGAAATTTTCTCTGGCATAATCCTGAAATTAATTATAGCAGTATGATGACATACCATCACGAAATTTAATGCACATATTTTTTCCTTATGTATGCTGCGAAATAAATATAAAATACCTCAATTATTAAAATAGATTTCTTTCTTTCGTTTAGCTGCAGAATGTCTGAAAAAAAAGCCTTATTTTATTCCAGATTGGGAAGATTCTAATCTCAATCTTCAGTGGAGAAAACAACAACTATTATAATTATATTTGTGTTTTCAAGTGTTAAGGTGCCTTTTAAGAACATACCTCACGCAAATTAAATTTACCTAAAATCTAACCTAACTATTTAGCATTGAGTTGTAATTTATAAGGACCGGGTTAGCCTCGTGTTGAACTGGTGATGATCATGAGTAATAATTAAATAAAACATACATTTGTTATCCAATATATATATCTTAAATTTTATTAAGTTTCTTAAGTGGAAAACTAAACAAAATTATCAAACAAAGTATACCAAGAATAATTAAGAATAAATGTCCTCTGGGATTTATTGAATAATTAAGTGAATTTACTACACAATACAAGTAATACCATAATTAATTTACCTCTTAGCACAGCCAACGTACATTACGCAGATAGACAGGAATTTTCTTGAAACACACCTGGAAAAGTCAGGGAATTTCATTCTCCTGTTTGAGTGGCAACCCTGTTTATAGAGATTTCAATGAAAATACAGTCGATGTTTAATCAGTGAATATTTGCATTTAATCCATTTATTTACCTGAATCATGCATTATAAAGCAAATTTAAGTCAGTTTGGAATTCTCCTAAAACAGTGCTGCCATGCAGTGTGAAACATCCTGGTTTTTCATATTTCAAGGTTGTCACTTTAAAAATGTTTAAAGAAAAAAACCATCTGTTAATATGCCTAAAGGAGAAAAGTGTTTACTAAATTTTTATTAAATGTGTTTATTGATGTTGCCATACATATTTTTATATTTTCTATATTATTTCTTTAAAAACTAGTTGCCTAAAATAGTTATAAAAAGAAAAAATATGTAATGATTTCAATGAGGCCAACTAATGTGATTTCATAAAAATATTGACTATTTCAAATTAGACAGACATCTCATGATTTTAATACTGTTTAATTAAATCAGTCATATTAAAAATTAGAAAAAATATTTTTAGAACTGCTTTTATTGCTTTTAAATTGGTTAGTTTATTACTTAACTAGCTAGTATCCAATTGCAGTTAAGTTAGATTGAGAGTAATGCATCTAACAACAGAGAGAACGATACCTTCTCTAATAACGATGCAAACAATATGATTCATAGCCATACATTTTTCAGTCTGATACAATATAAAACCCACATAAAGATTTTGACAGAAAAATAAACTCTTTCTCATTATATCAGCAACAATGGCACACAGTTTTTAATGATTTTCTTCTTTCTAATCAAATGGTCATAAAAGCTCAAGTTCCATCCAATATTTCACCAATTCATTCCAATTATATATATATTGCAAAACTTACAAATTTTTTATTAGCAAAGTCTAGGATTTGAAAGCAAGCAGTAGCAGCACTATTCAAAATAAAGCTTTTTATCTCGAACGCGCGAGACTTGCCACTTGGAAAATGAGTGCAAAAGTTAATGTTTTCGGAGTTTTTAATTAATATCTCGTCTGAATAAAGTTGTACACGGTCGAATTGGACTTCCACCAATTTTCAAAATAACGAAAAATGTATTTACTGTTTGGCAATGCTATTTTTATATCATTGTAAAACTTAGAAATTTTTTATTAACAAACTATACGATTTAAAAGCGAGCAGTGGCAACAGCTTTCCAAATAAAGCAGATTTTCATCTCCAGCTTGTGAGACTGTTGCCACTGAGGAAAATGAGGGCGAAAATTATTGTTTTTGCAAGTTTTTAATTAATATCTCTGATTTTAGCTACTTTTTTCTTTTATTTTTTTCCTTTACTTCCCCCCCAAGTCGACGTTGACCCTTTCCACGACCCAGGAAAGAATTGTAGAAAGTTTGGTAGCGATAGCTGTAGTAGTGACTGAGTTATTAGAGGACAAACAAACAGACTTTTTTTCTTTATAGATAACCTTCCAGAAGAAAATTGGAAGTACAGTCAAAAGTCTTTAATCCGGACTCGTCGGGACTTCGGCAATTCCGGATTATCGGTTTTTCCAGATTATCCAGAATCCATACTTTGAAACATGCATTCACTTTGTAGATCCTTTGGCACCTCCAGAATGGGAAATTCTTTTTGACATAATTGAAAGTCCAAGCTTACTTTTATAAAATTGCTCTAACAGTATGCAAAAAATAATAAGCTGGATCTAGTTGGAAGATTAAGGAACAACGCAATCTGCAGCATTAACTGAATTAGATAATTTTAGCTTACCTTATACTGTCCGTTATACATTAAACGGGCATGCGCAAATGTATTATGCGCATGCATAAAAGTATTATGAGCAGGAAGTTTGTAGCTTTGAAGTCCGGATTAATGACTTGACTGTATCTTGGTCTTTATGAATGTTAATATGCTGGCATGTGGAAGATGAAAGTATTTTATTTC